CCCTTTCTTTCTCCTTCATACCCTTTTCCTATCAAAAAATAATCATTGTTTTGCAAATCACTAGGACAACGATGTTCTAAAAACAAAGCCATAGCAAGCATCCCTTTCCTCTCCTCTCCACAGCATGTTGAACCACTGGAGTCTTGCTTGGTGGCCAGCTGCAGCAGCCTGCAGGGGGCGTGTGCAGCTATCACCGTACACAGCTCATTAGACACCAGGGGAAGCTGAGCCCAATGGAGGGCATCTGGGAGGTCAGGATTCCAGCTCCCAACCTGGCACTGAGGCTCAAAGCTTGAAGATAGAGAAAGATGCAGCCTGGGCTCTGAGTTGCTTTGCTGCTACAACACAGGTATTGTTGGAGCAGTCTGTCCCAAGTGCCAGTAGCAAAACAGCTATGGCAGGGTCTGGCTCTCTAGTGATCACTACACCCCTGGGGCCAGCATGTCACTCTGACTGACTCTGATCACCCTTTGGGCACTTCCAAGGGGCTTGGGGCTGCACCTGCTGGTGGAACAGCCAGCCACCATCAGAATGGGGTTATCTGTCTCAGGTGGGCCATCCTGCGTGTGCTGACACTAGGGTCACTAAAAATAACCAGCAGGCTTTCTCAAGCCTCAATAACAGGCATTCCTATCCTAGTCAAGTAGTTGGCTCCAATCTTTACATATGCACACTTCTTAACACCAGGTGTCCCATCCTCCCTTCACTGGCATTTGTGCTCTCTAGTGGGGACTGCAAGAAGGATCCCAAACTCTCAAGGGATCAGGCACATGCTGAGAGAAAGGCCCATGCAGAGCTTTTTGGTGACTGTCCCTAAGGATGAGAACTTTTGGATTCCTGCTGGGCTGGTGTAGGGAGGGAGGGGGGGTGGGGGGGGGAGGGTTCCCAGCCAACTCCTTGCGCACATGGCCACTATTCACCCTAAGGGGATGGGGGTTTTTTGGGACTTCTCAGTCTGCAATGGTGGCTGCCCCTACCATTGCACGTTGTTAGGAGGTGCTCCTTCCCCCCCCCCCCACTGCCCCTCCTCCCCAGTCCCACTGGCTCCTGGGGCTGCTAGGAGGATGTGGTTGGCCACTTGCCTGAAGGCCTTTTGTTTGAACTGCAGTGGGCTGGGAGCAGCTGCACTGAGTGAGAAGTAGGGCTTGAGAGAACCAGTCCATTTGGCACCTTCTCCTACTCTTGGGCCCAGGATCTCTTCCAGTTCCCAGGTCCCCATATGCCCAGGCCTGGTTTTTCTCCTTGCCTGGGAGTCTTTGAGATTTGGGGAAGTGAGTTTCCCAAGGCCCAGCACTATACTCCTTCTAGGTTCACTTGGCCCAGGGATCTGAGGGGACAGTTGAAATGGCACCCGCTGGGATAAATATTAACAAAAAGCAAATGGACTTGCAAGGAGGCCAGTTATCAATCAACCAGAGCGCAAGGCCACTTATGGCAAACACGGCCCAGGTTGGTCCCAGTGAGACTTTCTCATGGCCACTTCCTGGCTGAACATTCCCCTCTACACACATAGCCCCAGACTCAGGCTCTCCTCCAAGTATTTCTGGGGCCAATTCTGGACAGGAAGGGGATGCAGTCCCAGATGCAGGAGACCTGGCAGGCTTCCTAGCACTGTTTGGAGATTCCCTTCCTTCAGGTACCCAAGGGTCAAAGGGGTCTGGCACCCACCCCTGCCTGGGCCTGGGGCCTCGCCTCCTGGGTCCATGGTGCTGTGCCCTCTGGTGGGTGGACACTGCAGCCTCTTTCTAGGCTGACAGCTCCCCTATTATGGTCAAAGCCTTCTGGAATATTTAATTGGAAACTAAATCAAGCTCTTAATAGGCGTCCACCCACCCATACAGTCCAGCCAGCCCACCCCACACAGGATGCGAAGCGGCTGGAGCCTAGTTGCACCGTACTTTAATGGGACAGCAGCAAGTATTAGATTAAGGGAACACACATTGATTTTTTTAAAGGTAGTTAATTTGGTGAGAATTTCCTCCTGTCTTCCATCTACCACCAAGCCAATGTAATATTGTAAGGAGAAAGCACCTCCCCAAACATGCTGCCACATGTGGAGGTTCTGACCCTCTGCAACAGGCTTTGTGGAGTCTGGCGTACATGGAAGAGCATGGAGAAGCCACTCTTCGCCAATAAGCAAAAACCCCACCCCGCGGGGCAGAGAGGAGGTTGAAGGGTCTTTAGTGCAATAGTGAGCCCAAAATTGCAAGGGGCACCTCTGTGCATGAAGGCTGATGATGGCGGTAATGTCCCCAGCCTCGGCCAAAGCATCCTGCAATGCATTTAAGTCTGCACTCAGGGCCTACTAGAGACCATTTGGAGACTTCAGGAAAAGGCCTCACTCCCTTCTCACCCCACCCCGGAAATGAAAATGTTAAAGGAATTCCTCATTGTTCTTCGGTGACTTTAAAATTGGTTGTGGTTCCTGCAATATAATGGGATTGTTCTCGGTTGGGCTTCCTTCGCAAGCATCCCCATCCCAGCCTTTCCAACCCCTTCAATTAAGTTAAAGAAAGGAAAATTAAACACTTAGTCCTCATTGGGGTCTTAGGATGTGGATTCCACTTGGGGATGGGCACCAAAGCTTGTCCTGACACAGGCTCTGATTTTCCTTTTTAAAATTTTTTTCCCCAGAAAAAAGGCCACATGCCCAGGCTGAGCTTGACTCGCCTTCGGCGGCTGCTAGGTGCCAGACCGTTGCCCCTTCAATAACTTCCTGGATCCTGTGAGCCTGGCAGCATGCCGTCCAGCCTTCCCACATGATGGTCCCAGTACTTGTGCTACCCCCTTAACAGCACTGCGGCGCCCATGCGTGCAGGTCAGAGGGAGCTCGGGCAGATCACGTTTCCAGGGCTGCGGGTCATCTCTGAACAGAAACTGTCAGTCTGATTTTCCAGGATGCCATGGGGGCAGAAGGGAAAGGTGGTCACCGAAGTCTCGAGCAGCACCTTCACTAGGCAGGGAGTAGGGGGGAAGTACCAAGCTTCCCTGAGGGGATCTCTCTTCATTTCCATCCCATTCCTCCATTTCCTCAGCCCCACAGCCGGGCCTGTGGGAGCACACTGCCTGTTTAAAAGGTCCTCAAACCAGAGTACAAGGCTGACGCGGGCGTGTGAAAAGACACTGACACTGACTTTTCAGTGCAGGTCGGGGAGAATTGTAGCTGTTTCTCCCGTCCCTTGTCCAGCTACCCTGGGCGCTTGGTCAGCTCACACGGGTGGGAAGCGATATGGTGGATGCACACAGGAATACGAAATGGATTTGCCGAGCCCCAGAGGGCACCTTGTCAACTTCTCTCTCACCCTTCCTGTCCTCAGCTCCCATCGCCGCCCCCCCACCCCCCACTTCTAGGCGCAAGCTGTAATAGCCTGCATGGGGACATTGCTTGGAACCAGAGAGCGCAGGGCTGGGCTGGAAACCCTGGCTGGGCAGAGGCTCGGCGATGCCCAACACGGCTGAGAGGCAGAGGCGGGAGCGCCCAGACCCTAGGAGTGCTTTGGGTTGTATCCGGCTCCCCCCGCGGGCTCACTGGCACGCCAGCACCTGCCTCGCTCCAGCTTCTCATTGGCCTGCACCAGGTGGGGGAGGGGGCTCTGGCCTCTCGCTTTGATTTTAGACTGTGAAACGGCTCAGTGCCCCCGGCTCTGAGCGGATTGACTGTCTCTCATTCTCCAGGGACGAATTAATGGAGAACGATCAGTTAATTAACAAACCCTCATTCCGGCTTTTACCTTTCTCTTCACCAGGACTCAGGCCAGGGCACCAGGCTGAGATTGGGGCGGGGGGAGTAGCGCGGACCCAGGAGTCAATCAAATCGGCCAGGTCTCATCAAACCGTGTCCGCCCTCGGCTACCCTTGGCTTTACCTCCCCGTGTGTCCTCTGCCCTCTGGGGTCGCCGAATCCGCTTGAAATCTCCAGTGTGATTCAGAATGGGCCAAGCTGTGCCCTCGGCCAGCTTCCAGGAGCTTTCCTTGAACCTTGGCTTTGAGAGGCTGAGAAAGCTAGGCGCTGTCTGCACAGCGCCGAGGAGACGTTCCCGCTCAATTCGGAAACCCCGGGTCTCCGGGTTTCGCGCCTGGGAGACCTCCGCTCGCAGACTCGGGGCTCATGTCCACACTCCCATCCCCTTGCATAGGGATTCACTCGAAACATCAAGCAGAAGGGGAAAACAACAACAACAACAACAACAAAACAACAACAAAAAACAACGAAATGCGAAGTCGTAAACTAGTCGGCAGCAAAGGCGGTCCCTGGGCTCAGCTGTCAACTCCCTAGCTGATCCGACGCCTTCATCCTTACCTCGGCACCATCTGCCTTCTTTTCCCTTCCACAGCTGATTACCGGGGCAGAGTGATTGCTAACTCTAAACACAGCGTCGGCGCCAAACACACACCTTCCATCGGCTTCCGAACCTTTAACCAAACTTCCAGAGCGCGCTCCCCATCCCTCCCATCCCTGCCTCGCGCCAATAGAGTGAGCTCTGGAGGGGGTCACCGCACTATGTCCAGCCAAACGTGGGCGGGCGGCTGCGGCACACTCCAGCTCAACACCCGGGTGTGTGCCAGGGGTACTGGCTGGCAAAATCTGAGCGCAGTTCCACGCACGCGTCGCCTTCCTGTTCCCAAACCGGGAGCGTCCAACTGATAAGCGACGCACAGACCGTAACCGGTCAGGTGCCGGGGTCTCCCTTCGCCTCCGGCGGTGAGCGCTTCCAGCACTGTCTCGAGCACAAACGCGTCCCCGCAGTCGCCCCGGCGGTACTGCTCAGCTCCGGGAGTCTACCACACTGCGCAATGCACTGAGTCCTGGAGGAGGCGGTCTGCGCCTGGGAGCCGCGTGCTGGCTCTTCCAGGCCCAGGAGAACCCCCCCTCCCTTCTTAGGGGGAAAGGAGAATGGGATGAAGCGTGCCCAGCCCTCTCTTTTCCCCTCCCTTCTTCGGTCCCTTCAGCTTCCCCAACCTCTCATCTCCCCACGCGCCCAGCTCCTTGTCCCGCTCACCTGCCAAGCGGAGCGCAGACATGCGCTGGAACTCGGGCTCCTGCAGCCACTTCCACATCCTCCGGAAGGTCTCCCTCCCGGACTTGAGTTTGCTCCAGGGTTTGGGGTTGCGCAGCAGGTCCGAGAGGGTCCCTTGGGAGCGGCAGAGCACCCTCTGCGCGAAGATGGCCTGTGGGATGCTATAGCGCTTGAGCTCGGTGGTGATACGCTGCGCCACCTCTTTGGTATTGATCTCTTCCATTTGCCCTGAATTACTTCCATTGCTGACCTGTGCGCCGGTCACCGAAGGGTTGGGTTCCCGGGCCGTGCCCAGGAGCTGCCCGTGGCCCTGGGCGTTCAGGTGCGCGTGGGGGTGATGCGGAGGAAGGCCGTTGATGGGCACCATGCCAGCCGAGGTGGGCGTGAGGTGCTGCTCCCCGTGACGGCCGAGCATGGCCGGGTGGTGGGCTTCGAAGCCGTTGGGGGTGAGCATCTTCTCAGTGGGCATAGCGGCGCCCGGGTGGGCATAGTGAGGGAGCCCTTGCTGGGAGTTGTGGATGCCGCCAAGCCCGGAGCTGGAGAGGGGCGAGAGGCTCTGGCCCATGCTGGCCACGTCCTTGTGGTAGGGGGTATAGAGGTTATTCATGGAGGCCAGCCCGCGCTCGTCCCGCATGAGCGTGAAGCTACCGCTCACGTTGCCCGCCAGGCGCTGGTGGTGGTGCGGGTGGTGGTGGTGATGGTGGTGGTGGTGATGGTGGGGGAACTTGTCCGAGACGGTGGAGATGGGCGGCAGCGGCTGCAGAGGGGTTAAGGTGGTGTAGGTGGTGGGCATGCTCATACCTGGGGGAGTCTCGCAGGCCATAGTCATGGTGGGGTGCAGGGGGCCGGCCAGGCTGTGCTCGGGGGCCCGGTGGTGGTGGTGGTAATCTCCGCCGCCGCCGCCGCCGTCTAGCAAGGACGCCATGCCCATGGAACGCGGGTGCGCGGGGGGCAAGTGGCTGCCACGGTGCGCCACGGAGCTTCGCGCGTGGGGACTGCCGCCCAGGAGGTCGGCAGGAGCGGGCACTGGCTCATGGCTCACCCCGTGCAGCTCGCCGATCGCCTCCATGGTCAGCTGCGCGTTCATCGTGATCCGGGCGAGCGGGCGGCGGACACAACATCGATGAGGCCGGGCAGAGGCGGCGAAGGGCGCAAGCAGTCCGGTCTTCACATCGGCTGCCGGCGACTGTTGCCTGCCTGCCTGCCTTCCTCTCACTGTGGGGCTCTGTCTCTCTCTGTGTGTGTCTCGCCTTCCCTCTTGCCCCCACCTTCCCCTCTGCGTCCTCGGCTTTTTTTTAAATATTAATTTCCAAAAGGGATCCGTGCCGTTGGGCGAGCGCGGAGCCCCCAGCCCGCCCGCCCGTGGCCCCCTCTCGCCCCTTTCCTTCTTAGAATTCTGAGGCCCCCGGCTCCCCTGACGCAGCCCGCGCGTCTTCGGCGGCTGCTTTTTGCCCGCGCCGCTGGCCAGCTCCAGCCATGGCTCGGTTACTGTTGCAGACTCTGTGGCCGCGGTTCCGCCGCCGCCGCCGCCGCCGCCGTCGCCGCTGCCGCTGCCGCCGCCGCCGCCGCCGCGGCCCGCCCTCACGCCCGCCGGGCTCTGCGCGCAGGCGCGCGGCTCGGCCCCGCCCCCTCGGCCCCCGCGCGGTCGGCCCGTGACGTCCCCGTACAAATGATGGAAGGGGGGCCCCGCACCTTAACAGCAGCGCTGGGTGGCCCTGGAGCCGCGCGCACGTGTGGAGCCCTGACGTGGAGCGCTGCCTGCGGCGGCCAACGCAACCGCGGGAGACTTGCACCCCTCTCGGCTCTCTGGCTGGGGTGCGCTTTCACCCAGCAACGTTTCCCAGGCTCCCATCCTGAGAGGCGCGCTACGCCTGGAGAGCCCTCACCCTTCTGCCCAGTCGCTGCCTCTCGGTGTAGGTTGCCCAGAGAGCCTCAGCCAGTGTCCTTACTCCTTTCGGTCTGGCCTACCAAGCTTTTCCCCAGAGGGCTTCTGGGAGTCCGCGCTCTCCTCATCCTCAAGTGCTCGGCCACTTTGGAGGGAGTAGAAGCAAATATCTTAAATGCCTTGGTCAGCTTGCTGCCTGTTGACCCGACAACCTCCCTCCTTCCTGATAATCCTCTGCCCACCCTTCCTCTTACACGCGCCGGAGAGGGAAACTCTTAGCTAAGAGTTGGACCCGGGGCCATACCTCGCTGTCCCCCGCCGCCTGAGTCCTTCTTCACCTCAGCTGATAATTAAGGCGGAGTGCCGCTTCGCGAATGGCGCTGTGTGTGTGTGTGTGTGTGTGTGTGTGTGTGTGTGTGTGTTGGGGGTGGAGAGTTCCCTGGTGGGTTCCTATGTTAACTTCTGGGTGCTGGTGTGGCTGCAGAGGCGCGAGCTGTTCCTGCGGTCGCTCTAAGGCCCCCGTGGTAAAGCACCCAGAGGACGCTGCTTGTGGGAAGAACTGACGCCGGGCAGTGTGGACCAGGCGCGCCGGTCTCTGCTGGGCCCGTAGGGACGCCCTCTTCCCGGCATCCCCGCGAGAAGTCTCCAGATTTGAAAATCAATTCAGCCTCGGGCGTAATTGCCCGCTCCTCACAATCACGCTCCAATCTGGAATCGAACCTGGTCCCTGGGCTTGATGCGGACGCGTGGGGAGGCCCCCAGTGAGGGACGTACACCCGGCTACCACATGCCGAGGCTTTCTTTCATTTACAAAAGAGAAAAAAAAATCCGTAACAAAAGGCAGAGCCCTGTCTGCTTAGGTGCTTTCATCCCTCGGAGAAAGGACAGATGTGCCCATTGTCCAGCCCTTGGCAGTTACGACCGGGTCAGCGCGGAGCCTCAGCCCCGGGCTAGCAGTGGTCACAATACAGGACAGCCTCCCAGAGCCTGGGTTATCGGGACCCGGATGTGGAACAAAGTGTGTGTGGCCTTCACTGGGCCAAATTTAGACTGTACGTCCCTTTCTTGGGGCACCCAATCAGAGCCCACCAGCAGTGTCTCTGCTGAAAATGTTTAGACCCTAGGAGAGGTCAGGGCTGGGATAGTGGGAGTCGTGGTGATGGAATCCCCTAGGCAAACACTTGGGCCAAACAATCCTTAGGAGAAACTTCCAATCAGCTAAGGCGTGAGCAGGCCCATCTCTTTATCTAGTTCCCTGACAAAACCAGGGCAACATCATGATCCAGGTAGATTAAGGCTAGTGGGTACAGTCCAACCTGACTTCCTTGAAAGTGGTCATATCCTGGGATTGGCTAGTCTGGTGCGTTTCATCACCAGAGATATGTCTATATTGTCCAAATGATGCTTGTGGAGGCCCAGGAAATGGGAATGCATCTTGGAGAACTCAGTGTCTCTCTGCATAGTGAACATTTAGGAATTTAAGGCTCCCAGAAAAGAAAAGTCTTCTGGGGGAAAAAAGCACAGGCATAAAGGAAGTCAGAAAACGCAGTTATTCTATTTAAACTTGTATTTACACCTAACCATTCACACACACACACACACACACACACACACACACAAGCATAAAACACATTTTCTGCCTAGTGGATCACAATGTATTGGTGGGAAGCTGTATCCTTGGTTCCTTATTGTTTCTGTTCTCTTTTCTTACAACATAGAGCATGTAGCTCTCATATGAGACCAGACAATGGCTTACAGTAGCAAGCTGCCTTTGAGCTAAACCCTTGTGTATCCTTCCCACCTCCACATATTTTAATCCCCTTGAAATGATTGATTTGCCCTTACGACAACTCTCTTCCCAAAAGACAGTTTGTGAAAAGAAAGAAGTAAATATCACCAAGTGCACAAATTGTTCATGGTTTTCTCTTTGTGTAAGTACTTAGGGACTTGATCCTAGAAACCCTCCTTCATGTGTGGTTTCCAGCTGGGCCCCTGAAGCCTATGAAGAGGGTTGGGATCAGGTGAGCTCAATCAACACTGGCCCCCATCCCCTATGAAAAGGGGGTCTGGTTCAGTCTTGGTCTCTAAAGGAGAAGCCAAAGGAAAGATCTGGGTAATTGTTAAATATGTTAAAGTAATGTGTGTACAGGACTTGCTTTGGTTTGCAAATCTTCCTAATCTTTCTTGGCTTTTCATGCCTTTTGTTTAACCATTGTTTACCTGTAGTTGACCCAAATTGCAATGATTTTTAAAGAAGCATTGTATTCTTATTTGACCTTTTGGAAAATTTTCCTATTACTAAGGATGTGTGATGAGTGGGAAGAATGCTCTTAGGCCTAGTTAAGGTGAACACATGTGTGTGGAGGGTGGGGGGGGGGGGGACAGACACTAGGTGAATTGCCACTGCTGGAGGGCTAGGATAGCTTTTCATCATTTTGTTCCTCTCTTCCTTCCCCTCCTCCCCCTTCCAGTGCCAGTACAATGTCTGGTACCCATCGGCTGCACTATGGGTAATGAAATAATTAGAGCTCAAGGAGGGACCCCTTAAAACTATATGGCTGGTCAGTGTATACAATTACAGGATGATGTTCAATTTTTTATGACAGTCAAGAAATTTGAGGGGAGGGGTTACTGTCAGCCAGTTAGATTTTGAGTAGCTGCAGGGAAATTAAAGGGAAAAAATGGGGTCAATCACCATCACAAAATTACATGTATATATTTAAGAAGAAAAGAAAAAAGACTATAGACTGGATGTTTGTTACTGGCAATATTTTCATTGTGGAAACAGGAATTTCAGACTACTTATTTTGTAAATGTCCAGTGGTGGTAGTTGGGCAGATACAGTCCTTCCTGTACTGAGTTGGCTACCGTTTGCCAGGTAACTCTACCATGCTTAGAAAAGAGACTGAGAATAAGGGCATTTTGCCAAATGCTGGCCACACAGTGTTCTCTCAGAACGTTCCATCAGTTTCAGAATTCCTGTTAGTTCTTTTTTGAGTTATAGAGATGTAACATATGACTCAGTCCTAGTTTTTAAGACCATTCCAAAGAAAGGTTTCTAGCCCCCCCAAGCCATAAAATGTTTACTTCCCATTTGTTGGCCATACAAACAGCAAACCTGGTGTCAAAGGCAGAGTCCCCCACCCAGGGCTCCAGTGGTAGGCTGACTCCTTGGCTAGAGCCTCAGAATGTAAACCACCAGAATCTCTGATGCCTATAGCAAGTCTAAAATTAAACTCCTGGTGAGGAACCATTTCTTTGGTGTCTGGCAACAGTAGGGAACATGATTGATAACTCTGGAGTGAAGAGTTTGGTACTGGGTGCATCCTGTCAGCCTCCCCTGTCCTTTAGACTTCTGCAGGAATTTTATTCAGAAAATTATTGTTGGCTTAGAATAGAACACCAAAAAATTCAGAAGTGTCCTGGTGATTCAGTATTGAAAAACATTTTTTGATATTAGTCAGTGGCTTCTCCCCACTCTCCGGGGTCCAAGGAAGTGGTAAACAATTATCCTAGCCCTCTCTGTCCACCTTTGATCTTCTATTTAGCATATAGTTTGTATTCAACTCTTAGCTTAAATGTTTACCCTTTTTAAAGAAAAAGGAAACCTAACCACCTAAGTTACAGGTTTTGCCTATGACCATATATGATATGTGTGTATGCATTATATATACATACACACAGTATATGATCTGTGTATGAAATTTATACACTCACACACGCACACACACATATATATAAGACTCTGTACTTTTGCACTCTCCTTTGTTTCATTTCCTACCCACCCCCTCTAAGTCACAAAGAGAAGAGGCAATGGAGAAGGGCTCGTGCCAACCCCTCCTGACTCTGGGTTCTAGAAGGTTCGAGGGTTGCATTACAGGAGATGCGAGAGGCAGCGGTCTCAGGATGTCAGCGGTCCTGATAGAGCAGCTCTGATTACTTTCTCTCCTGGACCATCTTGTAAACCAGAGGCGGCTTCTCTTGGGCTTTTAAATCCATTCCACTTGGGCGAGGGCTTATTAAGGTCTCAGAGCGGCGAAGCGAGAAGGGGTGTCCTGACGGCCGTGGGGCTGCGGGAAGGGTCCAAAGCTTCTGGGTGACGCTCTGGCCAGAGGGCCAGGCGCTGGACGCAGTCAGCTCTTTTCCGGGAGAGTTGGCCTTCTCTCGCCAACCCTTCAGTGGATTTCCTTGGTCTTATCTCT